AGACTCTTATTTATTATCTTCATTCCCTTTCTCTCTCTTTCTTTCTCTCTCTTATTCTTTATTTCTTACCTTCTTCTCATTTTGAAAAGAAGAAGACGTGTTTTCTAGATGTCGTGTCAGAATGAAAGAAAAGATCGATCGCGTTTGAGAAGAATGTAATTTGTAAGAAGGCGATATATATTCGACGTGTCATTTTGAAGTGGTAATAAAGTACCGAAAGTCGGTCTCTCGGGTTATGGTTATCGTGTTTCTTCTGTACTGTGAGCTGCTTCTTACTTCTTGTGGTATACATGTATATACATATATATATATATATATATATATATATATATATATTTTACAATATATACCTATACCTACTATGCTACCGTCAGTTAAAGGCTGTTTGCTTGGCTGCTTGGTTGGCTACTTGCTTGCTTGACTCCACGTTTTACCTTTCTGCCACTTTCGCTTGTTTGTAAAAATACAATAAGTTATAGATCTAGGAGACTTGTTGACGAACGTTCAACTGATACCGACGACGAACCCTAACGTTTTACACGAGACAGTAGCTACAATACGTGTAACTATTATCTTACTTCAACGATATCTTTTGAATTATTATTATTGTTACATATCGTAAGGTTGTAACTTTATAAATTATAATGCATTTATATTATTTAAATTATTTTCAAATTTAATTTGTATTGGTCTTTTTTTTGGATTAAATTATGTACGATTGAGTAAATTAAATGATTTTTTTTCATTTTTTTACTATTATTTTGTTTTATACAGTAAATTTTTGTGTAATAAAAGTTGCTGATAACGTGTCGATAATATTTTGATTAGAAGAAGGGTTAGAAAGTTAGAAAAGATCATTTAGGAGATAATGAGAGTTAAATTTAATATATAATTTATAAAATAATAATTTAATTAAAGTTAAAAGTTAGAAGAACGATTAGAAAATTAGAAACATTTTACGTTTAAATAGAGTTGCGATTTTCCAAGTGTTTTATGATTCGTAAATCAAAAAACACAAACAAAAATACGTGAAAGAAATAGAAAAAGAGAAAAATATCTTTTAGAAAATATTTCGAAAGTAACGAGTCATTACTTCCCCTTAATAATTGTTCGAACAAATATGGGTAAGAAGAAGTTGAAGTTGAAGAAGATGAAGAAGAAGAAGATGATGATGGTACACGCGAGAGCCTAAAAATGGCATGGCAATGACCTCCGAAAGGTCCAAAAATAATTCATCAGCTACACGAAAACGAAACGGATCTCCCTTCTGAGTAATTTCAACAAGGAGGACTCGAGAACGTGTGAACGGATCAACAGGTGAGACGGTAAATGATCGATCTTCTCAAACATCAACAATTCTTGATCCTCTTTTTGAAAAGTTTGATAAGAATTCGTCCTATCAACGAAGGTCAAATTTCATTGATTTTTACAATAAATTAATCAAACACAAAAAACAACAATTTTGATTCAATTAAATATTATCATCAGTATACATATGAAATGCATTCAATATATGCATTTATGTGTGTATGTTATGTGTGTAATGCATATGGATGTGCATAATTTTTTTCGTATGATTAATAAGTATGAGTGAATACACTTAGCATATATGCATATGTGGTGTTCCTTTCTTTTTCTCTGTGTCTTATTTTTTTGTTTTCTTCTTTTTTAGGCTTTTTTAGTTTTTCTTTTTTTTTTCTTCTTCTTCTTTTCTGTTGAACTCGCAATCGCTGATATTAACGGCCTACCATTTGGCAGCCTCCGTACGAGCGATTGCTTCCTGATGAGGACCAGATTCCTCGTAACTCGCGTACCGGAAATATATATGCAAAATGTCGAGTGCAAAGAACTACGAGTTGGAGATATACATATATTTTTTATTTTATTTTTATTTTCTTTCAAAATCTAACTTTTCTTTATTTCTATATTTCTCGAGTTATCTTGTATCTATATGTGGACCCCATTAGTTCGTTAATTATTTATTTATTTTTTTATTACTCATAATCAGATCATTAGATCATTATTCTTTCCCATAACATTTTCTCTCTATAAATTTATATTATATATTAAATTATAAATATATGAAATTAAATTAAATTAAATTAAATTAAATTAAATTAAAACCAAAAAAAATCCAGGTATTATTATTGTAAGAACTTCGAATGAATTTCAAATGAAATATCTCGTCTTGGAAAAAAAAATAAATTCAATCGGAGGGTTATAATCGGAAGAAGGTAATAATTATTACGAAATTAAATTACGGTTTTATTTGTTTTTTATATCTGTTCTTTTCTTTTCTTTTTTCTTGTTTTAATCGATAACTTTTAAATATCCCACATATGCATAATGTATTGAAGAGAAACACGTGAAGAGACGACGGTTACACGACACAGTTTCGCGAAATAATTTTTACAACGAGTAGATGCTCTTCTCCTTTTTATATTTTGTTCCTTTTTGCATGGTTGGTTGCGTGGACTTGGACGACACACGAAGATCGCGAAATTTCGTTCGTGTCGGGAACGTATGCGTAAGAGAATCGACGATAAAGATGACCCAGAAAGAAACACTCCTCCGGTCTGGACATCTTTCCAACTTCTACCCATTGGTGTATATAACTTCTCGTTTTTCGATTATATTTTAAACTCCTTGTCGAAATTTTACACAGAGTGAAAGCGCACACGATTTCCGTTACCCTATTTTTTTTTTCTTTTCTTTTATTTTTTTCTTTTCTTTTATTCTATATCAAATACATAAGTAAGATATATCAATACACGTACCTCTGATAAACATATTTTAAGTGTACATTTAAATAATTTGTTTAAGTAACTTATATAATTAAATTTTTTATTATATTTAGATATAATATTTTAACAAACTATGAATCTATAATTAATTTTCCTTTCAATATTGATTTTCGATAGTTGATTTCTTTAATTTTTCAAGCAAAAATAAAAATAAATAAAAAAACAATATCTGTTCAAAAGGAATTAAACTTCTAACGTTTCATCGAACAACAACGGAAATCTGGTATTAATGATCAATAGTTAAAAGCGAGAGCACGATACTTGATACTCCCTACCGTAACGAAATGCATCGATGCTTTTTCGAAGAGTGAAGTAGTAGAAGTCTTAAGAAGTTCGATCAACTCGAAAGAGGAAGGAAAAGATGTCCTTAGTACAGGTCATTCACTTATTATATGCTATATACATATATACATATATAATATATCTCACGACGAAAGTTTAAAATAATTTTTTTAAATCTTGTGTTACATGTCTCACTATGTATTATACTTATAAGTATCACGTATCGACATTTGTCTATTCGAGTGCTTTCTAATTTCTCTCTACAAAAAATAAAAGAAAAAAAAAAACATTATTCTTCATTTTCATACGTCATTCAATTTTCGTATCCTCGCATCAAGATTATTTTTTCTTCTCTCCTTATTAATTTCTTTCTTATTAAAATATTTATATAAAAAAGGAAAAAATTCATCAAATCAAATGACTGAAACTCTGAAACATTCAACGTAACTTTTCAATTAACGAATGAATTATTTATAATACGATCTCGTGGGCGATTTATAGAAATCAAATAACAACTACCCCAACTCCTTCTAAAAAAAAAAAAAAAATTCTCTCATTATGTCAATCGAGAATCGATAGACCTTGATCGATCTTAATCCGACAGGTTCATTCATTAAACTTTCAATTGCCATGAAGTTAATGAGTCGCCTTATTCTATATCTTTCTTTCTCACACGAAGCATGATATAATAAAAGAAAAAAAAAATTATAAGAAGAAGAAGAAGAAGAAGAAGAAGAAGAAGATGATGCGATCATTCGTCGATCGTGGAAAAACTTTAAAACGAATAACGTCCGACACGATGTCGAGTTTAATTCACATTGAGTGTAAATCAACGCGCGTAACAGAAATGTAAAAATGACAAAAGAAAAAGAAAACACAAATAAAAACAAAAATTAAAAAAAAAAATAATTCATTACGATGATCGAACGGTGATTAGCGAAACGTGGAACGACGAGAGACACCTGCAGAAAGGATTTCGAAGGATGAGGAAGGAAGGGGATCCCGATCGACAACGTGCATCCTCGTCCACGTCCTCGTCCTCGTCCTCGTCCTCGAGGACTCGTCGTTTCTTTCTACCCACTTAACACCCCACTCAAACCCTTCCCCTTTCCTTTCCCCCTTCTTCATCTTGTTGGTTTTTCTTCTTTTGCTTAATGTTTCCTATCTTTCTTTTTCTCTTTCTTTTCCTCTCACATCTTCGTGTCATCTCATCATCTCGTTCTCGTATCACCGGATGAACGTTCTTCTTCTTCTTCCATCCTCTCTTCCTCTTGGTTGGTGCATTCGCGATTGCATTCCGCGGTTCATTAACACGGCTCGAAGCGTACTCGCTCGAGGCATGAAATCGATATGCAACCAGGGTGCAACGACATTTAAGTATCAGCAAATTATTATTCGACAATTTTCATTTTATTTTATTTTATTTTCTTTATTATTGTCATTTAACACTAGAAGTGTTTAAATTGATCGTTATGATAGATTGAAGTTATTCAAGTCTTCATTATTTGTTATTTTTAATATAAGTATGTGTAATGTAAATTATTTATGTTTTTTTTAATAATATTTTACTTATTCCAAAGGTATAGAATCGATATGCAGTAGGGTGCAATGACATTTAAATATCAGCAATAGTTAGTATTTAGCAATAGTTTTTATTTATTTTTATTATTATTATTATTGTCCCTAACAAGGGTACCATCAAAACTGGTTACAATGATTGGTTAAAATAAATCAAGTCAACCTTAATATACATTTAGTATTAGACATACATTTTTAATAAATGATATTTTCTCATCAAACTAACAACTGTTCTATAAATATGAATTATGAATAATCTATTCATATAGAGACCAATCTAAATAACAAAGATAAAATGTATTCTTTTTATTTATTTCTTAAAAATGTTAGATCATCGACATGATAAGCATTATCACAACTACTTATTTCTTCTACGCATTCTTGTAGGCTATATTATCTCCTTGACCGGGATAAATAACGGTTATAGAATTGGTAGTTTCGTCATAGGTACCATATACTATTTCCATATCATTTATATCCAAGTCTTGTTTAACATCTATCTCATTTTTAATAACAATCGGTGTTGTTATTCGTGAATTATCCGGAACAATTCGTACAACATCTGAACTACAGTTAGAACGCCAAGAATTATTACTATTTAAGTTTCTATCATCGATTGTATCGGTTTCCACATTTTTTGATGTCTCCCCCACCATTCTTTCTGAATTGTCAGATTTTTTAATGGTATTTCCTTCGGCCGAAACCTAACGAGATAATAAATTTATTATTAATGAAGAAAAAACTGAATTAAAATGATATAGAGATAGACTAGAAATGGATGAACATTCTTTTTTCTTTTTTTTTTATATAATACCCATGAATACTATTACAATATAATATAGTTTGTCTTTCACATAGAGTAATATATTACATTAGAATAAATTCATCCATTTCTGGAAGATCCGATAATAAAAGTAATATAAGATTTGTTACGCGTTTATAAGAAATGATTTCTCAAACGGATATATAAATTTTATTTTCCCTTAATTAAAACTCACTTGTTCATCTGATCTATGAGTATTTGTTTCCATTTTTGTGGTAACTTCTCGAAGAAGGCTTTCCGCAAGTTCATCGTTTCCGTCGATTTTCCGATAATTTTCAGTAATATAGTTTCTTCTGGTGTTAGTATCAGGGACGACATCGACTGTACTGTCCCACCCTGCGGCAGAGGGTTTTGTGGAGATACGGCAGATCCCAGTGAAGGTACAGGACAACGTACGCGTGCCTGACACGATGAACATAGTTGCTCGCTCATATTACTTGTTTCTTTCTCTATCCTCAATTTTTTGGTTTCGCTGACAAGCAACTCGTTTTGCGACTTTAATAAAGCACATTCTTGGGTTAACACGTCGTTTCTCTGTTTCAAAATTCTCACCGTCTCTTCTAATTTATCAAACTTCGCTTTTTGTCTATCCCTCGACGCTTGTGCTGATTTTTTGTTTATTAATTTTCTAAATAAAATGAAATACAAACAATAAGCAAATTTGTTTAAATATTTTAATTCAATTCATTTATATTTAAACGTGTGTGTGTGTGTGTGTGTGTGTGTGTGTCTGAAATTAAATACATCAATCAACATACTTTCTTTGTAATTTTTCTTCCCATGTAAGATGATCAAGTCGACGTTTCTTTCCTCTACCATTACAAACATCTGGTTTGAAGAATGCAACATCTTCTTGAAGTTCTTCCTGTTTAGGTATTTTCATCGTAATATCCATATCCATTTTGTTGGTTAAAAATGAAGAAAGATCCAATTTAGAAACCGATCTGACAAGCTCGTTGGTGGGCACAATGGTAGAGTTTTTTGAAAAGCCCTTAAGAAATGCAATGACTACGCTCTTCAATGCACTCATATTCATCCATATGTGTATCAATTACAAATACAATTAACACTTGTTTTCAATTTAACCCAACTTTACCATTTGAACCTGTCCTTTTTAACTACCTTACTTTGCTTATTGGCTACCAACTACGTGATATATGAACGATCAATTCAATAGAAAAATCATATATATATATATATTTTCTTTAATTTATATGTGATAGCATAAACATAAACATAAACATAATAATAATTAGAAGGTTTGAAAAGAGAGTCGGTTATATCGTGATAATTACATAGCATAAATAGTATAAACAGAAAAGAGAGACGGTTATACGGTGATAAGAGTATAGAGAGAACGGTTGGAAAAGAAAAATTTAAAAAGGAATTAGAGAATCTTGTTTACAAATTAAAAACAGTTAATAACGTGAATAGAAAAGTGTATGTGATAGTTATAAACTTAAATTGACGTTTCTTTGTTCACAATATATATATATATATATTCTTTTTTTTTTATACTTAATCAAAGTACAATCTTAACAATTCACAATAGGATCAATAATAAATCATAATAATAAATATATATAAGTGATCTAGAATTATAACGATAGACAAACTAATAATTCACTTTCTCCGAACAACATGTAGAGTCAAAATAAATCGCAAAAGAACGTTAATCCACTTTCTCCGTATAATTAAAATATACATTTACAATTTCTATTACTTCTCATTTAGATTTTATTATATATATATATATATATATATATATATATATATTTTTGTTTATTTTTCTATGCAACATCACAGAGCAAGTTGTAACAGGTATCTATTATAAACAAACGAAGTAAGTGTGTTGCCATAGTTGGAATAAGCTTTTAGGTAGTATTTAATTCACTTACACACTTACTTAGTCGTATATAAACGTATTTGTGTATATGTGGTTAGTATGGAGATGAAAAAAAAGAAAAGAAAAAAATAGTTAAAAGAAAAGAAAAAAAATGTTTAGCGCGTGCTATACGTGAAATTATCTTCGATTTTGCAAGTATGGTTATCAGAAACGTATGGCAGGTAGGACGTACGGAAGTCAGGACGTAAATCAAAACGATGTTTATACCGGATGCGTTTGGTATCGGTGGACACGTTAAGTTAAACGTATATTTCGTATACAACTCACAAGTATGGATCCTGATTAATGCGATTCCTGCTTACCTACCATGCGTAGTAAACTCGATCCTGATTAATACTGTTTACAGCACGGCGAGATCTCGAAAGCCATTAATCAGGATCGAAAGAGAGAAAGAAAGAGAGAAAGAGAGAATGAAAAAGAGAGAGAGAGAGAGAGAGAATTTCTTAGGATATATACTCTTGTGTGATCCTCCTATTTATATATATTATCGCAAAACCTAGAAGTATCTAAATCCTTATAGGATGAAAATCCAAAGGTACTTATTATTAGATATGATCCGAAGAATTTCAATGTATGTTCTCAAAGTTATCCTTGATAGTTGTCATTTTTCGATTATTATTGTCATTATTCGATTATCATAAATATTGCACAATGTTATTCGTTTAAAATGGGAGGGGTTAGATAACAAAGTTATAATCGTTATTCATTTAAATATTACTTTACAATTTTATTAAAAAGGAAAATATTAATTACATTTATTAGATTATTATATTTATCGAATAAAAATTCTAAAGTTAATGTAAAATATTAGGAATATAAAAAATAATTCTTACCATCGACAAAAAAAATTATCCAGTAACAAATTTAAACTCTTACAAAAGTAAATATATAAAAAAGTAAAGGGGGAAGAAACATTCGAAACATTTAAAAAAATTGTCTTCAAACTTTTGTATTTTTTTTTTCTTTTTTTTTTTTCTATAAAAAGAAAATGGCTAAAGACAAGAATTTAAGAATGATTTGGTATATAAGCAATTTGGCAAGTGACGTCATTCGGTCATAGGTCTAAAAAGTATGGTTGTGTTTGTCTGGGTTCGTTCGACGAATATAAAAAGACCGACAAAAAGAAATAATCACCATGAATGAGAAGAATGGAAGGTTAGGGATAAAAAAAAAACACACACAAAAAAAAAAGTTTCGGTATCTCTCTTTCTCTTTCTGTGTGTGTGTCTCATTATAAACCACCATGGTCTCGAGTTAACTGTGTAGGGAACAATTATCAGACCTTGGCGGGAAGCCGCATATCAACCCTTCGTTCGAAGTTTTACAGCCTCCAGCCGAAATGGAAGTGCCACTTTTGTAGTTGCCCCCCGGTTAATAACCATCACTTACCACACTACCCATCACCATCGTCATCTTCAAAAAATCTTACATTTTATATATATATGTATATACATGTGTGTGTACGTGTAAATATACAAGTAAATAAGTATTTTACATATAAACACACGTACCACATGTTTAGAGTTGTTCATATGTAGTTGGTATGACAGTTAACAAACGAAAACGTGTGATATATATATATATATATATTTGGCCAGTTTTACAACCGACCTGCAAATTAAAGTGCCATTCTGAATGAGTACAACCCGATGTCACCGGGTTATACGTAACGTATGTTAAACTCTGACACACCTACAACTTCTCACACACGTTAGATGTCATTTCTTTTTATATATGTCATTTTTTTATATATTAGCTTTTTTTTAATTTACTTAATATTAATTAATATATTATATTATTTAATATTATATTAAATAATAATAAATATATATTAATAATATTTATATAATTATTATAAATAAATGGTATATATCAAATGTGATTAAAGCGTATCATTAAATTTCCTATTAAACAACGATAAATCTATCATCGTCGTGCAACGTGTATTTAAGTATTTTAATAAAAAATTTAAGTATGATATAAACAACGATAAGAAATATCGACGTGAAAGCATAGAAACGATTTGACGAGCAAATGCAACAAGGTTTATTGTCCAACAACCTTTTCAAAAGAGAATCGAGAATATAATAACACTGTTTTCTCACAAGAGTATAACATGGTATGAAAATAGAAAAAGAATAATAAAAATGTATACAAGAGTCTAGAATAATATATTTGTATTAAAATTTGCATCAATGGGATTGGCAAAGTACTCGAATGAAAAAAATGGAGGATTATCGAAAGGTGCACCCTGCTGTGCATCGATTCTTCTTTATCGAAACACCTTGCTTATTATTTTTCTTTGTCCAAAGGTATATAAACACACACACACACACACACACATATATATATATACAAATCGCGAATCATCTGACAATAGATATTTAATGCCGGAAATCGTTCCGGATGGATGAACTGTTCGAAAAATGCATTAAAAAAACTATTTACAATGAAGGAATACTCGGACAGATCGAAATGACGATTAGAATCGATTTCACCTGTTGGAAAGTATTACACCAGGTATAATAATATCTAGTTTTCTCTCATCTGGCTACTTCTACGATAGGTCAGTAGGTTACCAATAATAATATTGCTAATATTACGTAACGATTATGTTACAGGATAATTATATATTGTGCAACGATCATATAATTCTATCTTATGGTGGTTTTTTTTCTTTTTCTTTTTCTTGTTGTTATTTTTATTTTTGTAAATATCGAAATTTTATTTCATTTTAATTATTCAAATTTTTTCCATAAATTTTATTCATAATTCATATTCGATTTTATAGACAAACTTTTAATAATAATTTCTTTTTTTGTAATTGGTACATAAATATCATAATTTTCATAATATTTTTTAATTGAAAATATTTGCTATATTACATATTATAACTAAATAATAATACAGTATATAATATTAATATAAAATAAAAGATATTTGAAATATATGAAAAATATATATTTTTTGTTTTTTTTTTTTTTGTTAAAATAAAATATAATTTAAATAAATGGCTAATATATTTTTTAAAATTTATTATCCTAGCATATATAATAATACAAATATAATAACGTAACAGAAAATAAAGCGAATGATCAAGTAGGAAGGATCTAAAGGGAAACGAACGAGAAATTGGTAAACCCGTTTCTTCCTGGTTATCGAAAGAGAACGACAGCTGTGAAATCGCGTGTAGAGAAGAGAGAAGAAAAATAAAAATAAAAGTAATAAAAATAAAAAGAAGAAGAAAATCTTGACCGCTCGTTTCGAGTTACCGTATACGATAAGGGATCGTTCTGATTCAAAATTTGAATTTACATTTCGTAAAAAAAAAAAGTATTATCATACATTCGTTCATTTCCTTAAGGAACATTAAGACATCTTTCTTCTAAAATAAAAAAAAAAAATAGAAAAAAAATAAAAAAATACGATTACGCGTAATGACCGAGTTTTCGAACGGTAAAGGTAAGTGGAAAAAGAATAGAAAAGAATTAAAAAAAAAATTGAAACAACTGATAAAAATAAAAATGTAGTAACATGAAAGATCGAGAACATAAGTCAGATCTAATCGTTTCTTCTATTCACCATCAAAAACATATTTACATGCACACTTACATTGTTTTATTTCTCTTTTATTTTTATTTTTTTTTTTTTTTCTTTTTTATTTATCTCTTTCTTTTTACTACGCTTACCGTGTTACAACCCTGATAAGACAGCCAACTTAGAATACATGTCTTGCATGAAGTCTCACGATTATGCGTAGGTGTAACCTTGCGTGTCGATCATACACATCGGTAAAACGTCAAAAGCTTAAACAAACCTTCGACCAACTATACAATTCATACGCATACACATATATCTTTTCACACACACATTTTATATACCAGTGGTAATCACATATCTTGCAATGTCATTTATACAAATAACAATTTAACGTTATACAAAATTTATACAATTAACAATGAACAATATTAAATCAAAGTTCCAGTATTAGGCACATTTTGAATAATTAAAATATGTATTAGAAATAATGATTTAATGAACACCACTGACATTTATTATACCCTTCTAAATGCATATCACAGTTTCACTCATCCACTGTTAGAAGGTCAAATAAACTATACAATGAGAAGAAACGTAGTAAAACAAAAAACAAAAATAAAAAGAATGAAACTGAGAAGGTGAAGGGTATAAAGGGGTGGGAGGATTTTAGGAAACTGATGGAAAGAAAGGTGAGGGGTTTAAAGGAAGGACGATGCTGACATATCCCGTAAGTATAATTCCCCCATAGACATTGAACGAAATCGATCGAGTGTTATCGCTTGGAAACACTCGACAATGGTACATTGTAAGCTAATGTTGCATGTATCCTCATCTATGAATATAATGTAATATGTATATGTGTATTAAAAGAGTATATATATATATATATGTATATATGTATGTACGTGTAATATGCACGACACGCCGACGTAATTACGTTCTCGAAAGATATCGAGATAGATCGATACTTTTCATTCTCCTTGTGTCGGTTAAGTTTAGCGTGGATGAAAATCGTGTCGTTTAGACAAAGTTCTCCGCATTGGTTAAGTCATTAGACACGCTTCGTTAATTACAAGAATTGTTTGATGGTAGGACACTTTGATAAAAACATAATCAGGATTAAAGATTCTTCCAAATTCTCGTTTTATTCATACAAATTTTTTCGATATGTTGTATTGTATTTTAAAGTATGTATTTTATGGGACTTTATTACTTTTTTTATTTTTTTATTTTTTTATTGTATAGTTTTTTTCGTGTGGAATTTAAATAAATTTTAGTATGGTTTCTTTGTGAATTTTCTTCTTTTATATTTAATATATATATAATGGTACTGTATTATTTATTATTTATTATTTATTATATCGTATTGTATATATTATAATATAATATTATATATTATATTATATCGTATCGTATATATATTATTATATCGTATTTTATTATTTGTTATTATTTATTTATTTTCCTTTTAAATTTTCTCATTAATTTATATTTTGTCTGTCATTCACACCTTTAACATTTTTTTTCTCATTCATACTCGTTCGTATTTACTACTACTTACTTTCTCTTTCGTATTCATTCATTCATTCATATATTCATTCATTCATTCATTCATTCATTTTTCTTCTCTCTCTCTCTCTCTCTGTCTCTCTCTCATCTCTCTCTCTCTCATCTCTCATCTCTTCTCTCTTGAATTCTCATTTTCTTTTTTTTACTGTTTTAATTTCAAATAAAAAAAAAATACAAAGAAATAAAAATTCTACTGACGAATCTCAGAGTGAGTATACGTTCACATTAACGATTGAGATCTTCAAATTCATTGATAAGAATCTACTCTGGGGACCAGTAAAAGAATCTACACGAGTATACTAATTAAAACAGATAAGGGGTCTCCTCGAACGATGTTAACTACTGAACGGTAAAACCTTTAAGAGAATAATTAGATATACTGTTAAGATAACGTTTAATGCGATATAATGATAAATATACGAATAATTATAATGTTACAATTATACAAATACGTATAATATATAAAAATATTGTTTGTGCTTATATTATACACAGAATAATATAAAATAATATTATATTAACACGTTAATGGCCGCTCATACAACATGTGTGTGATAGCCGGAACATTAGCCGTTATTTTATTTATAACTTTGTATACATATGTTTAAAATTATATATAAAATTAAATTTGTTGGTAAATTGTTGTTTGATGTTTTGTGCTAATTTTTTCTTGAATGACAATAAAGTTTTTTTTTAAATTAATTCTTGAAAAATAGTACCGGGCCCCTTACGACGTCTGACTGTGTACACGTGCGGCCATTAAAATGTTGATATATAATTAATCAAAATAATATTAAAATAATAAAAATATTAAAAATTATATTATATATATATATATAATATATTTAAAAATATATTATATTTCTTTCTTTCGTGTTGCAAAATAATTTTCATCTCAATATAAAGATATTATATTTCGATGATGCATAGTTTCACGTTCGTTCTTCTCCCCCTCACCCACCCCTACCACCACCACAACCCTATTATTGTGGTGTCATTATTACCAAGTGCATTATCGTACCAAACCTAAAATGAAAGTACAAAAACAATAAGGAAAAAAAACAATAAAATAAAAATAACAGAATCAGAAGAAGAAGAAATTACCAATGCGTGCCATCCATCTATCCATCCATCCATCCATCCATATCCCTTTTTCGATCACTCAAAGAGATTCGATTTGCATATCGAGAATAAAATAAAGGAATGGAAAAAAAAATGATAGTAGAAGAAGAAGAAGGACTTTGTCGGTTCGTAGGAGTTTTATAAAAAGTCCGACGAAGCAATTTGCGGTGGAAATGTAGGCCAGAACGCACGCGTACAACACTTACACACACACACACACACCGTGTACTTATACACTTGAAACTCTTTTCACCGGTATGCTGAGATTAGGATAATAAATATGGCCGAGGTGAAATCATCCACCGTCTTCTCTCTCTTGTGGATCCTGACCTTAAGGCCATTTCCAGACCGCAAGAGAACTACGAGGATTGAGAAGTGGTGAGAGAGGTGGAAAAGACCAACTTCTCTTCTCTTCTCTTCTCTTCTTTTCTTTTCTCTAATATTTTTCTTTTTTTTGTGTTTGTTTATCACGACGACGATGACGACGACGAACGACAACCCTCCTCGCGTTGCTCACCCAACGTTTTACGACATATAACCTACATTTTGCGTCTCGGATGGTATATATATGCATGACTATAATACTCTCGTCGTTTTTAGACGAGAAAGTTTACTCCTCGTATTTATTTTTTCTCTATGTTTACATATTCCTTTTTTTCTATTTTTTTTTTTTTTTTTAATTATATTTTTTATTGTTTTTCCCTTATCCATCCTCCTTAATTTTACTATCATTCAATTGAGTAAATGATAGTTCACTTTTTTGTATAATTACAGTATTTAATAATTAAATAATTAATATGTGATACGTTTTGTAGTATGTAGATGAAAAAAGGAAAGAAAAAAATCAACAAACGTTGATATAAATTTACCAACCCCACCATCCCTGTTTTTATATTGACAAATTTAAAAAAAAAAAAAAAGAACGAAAATAAGATAAATCGATTGGAAAACGAATAGAACTTTTCAGATGGGATATTTATGAAACGAGATAGATCGTAAGATATTTATATTTATTTTTTGTTTTCCATCTTCTTCTTCTTCTTCTTCTTCTTCTACTTATTTT